GCTAGCTGGGACTTCTTTTTCTTCTTCCTCCTTTTCCAGGTGAGGCAGCCAGCACCTCTCAGGAAGCCCCTCAGAGACGGTAAAAATCCATGCTTCCGAGTGGAAAGAGCTCTTACAGTCTCGTAGTTTAGGTTTGAATTCACTGACTAGCTGTGTGATCTTAGGCAAGTCATGAAACCTCTTTGAACCTCCGTCTCCTCACCTCTAAAATAGCTAGAAAAAGTATCTGCCAGTTGTTTTAAGGGTTCAAAATAATACATGTGCAGTTCTTGGCACCTGGTAGGTACTAAATATCTAGGAGCTATTACTCCATCCAGGTGACGAAGTGAGGGGAGTCTAGCCATTCTCCTCACCCTCACTTCTCCAGATGGGGTCCCCAAACCAGCAGCATTAACTGTGAGCGCGTTAGGAAGGCAGACCTGCTGAGTCACACTTGGCAGTGTAACCAGATCCCTGGGTTCATTCCTCTGCACGTCAGCCTGTGAGAGGCTGCAGCCTCAGCTGTGCCAGGCCCTGGTGGGGCCCCCGCAGGACTGTATCCCAACTGGAACACAGCCTCCTCTTTAGCCCCCTCCGGACTCCAGCCACGTGAAACACTGGCATGTACCGCAGGCTTCGTCTTTAATCTTCGTGGGTCAGCTCATTTAATCTTCAAACAATCCTCGGAGGGAATGCTGTTCTCTCCATTTTCCAAATGAGAAAACTAACCCTACATGATGAAAAATCGCTTCCCTGTCGTCACCCAGCTCATCTGTCACAGAGGCAGGTTGAAACCCAGGGTCATTTGAATCCAGAAGTGTAGCTGACTAGACTCTTGCTGGGCTCCCCTAAGCTCTCTTCCCGACTGGGCCTCGACCTCAGCCTATAAAAACAGCAGACTCTCAGCACGAATGGTTTAGGGTCTCTGTGAGAGGCTAGGAGCCTCGCTTCCTTGAGCGCCTGAAGTTAGATAACCCAGGTAAGTTTCACGTGCAGCCCTCCACCTTCCCGCTTTTGTACATTTAGCGGGAATTTCCACGTGCAAACCCCCCCATTGCCCCTCCCTGCGCTCTCAGTCTCCCTTTAAAATGCCCTCTGTACAAATGGAAGTTGAGGTCAGTTCATGCTGGGCCCTCTTTCCTACTGCAATAGCATATTACTGATTAATATTTGTCCTTAACACTTTAGTGTCTGTCTGTGTTTATCTGTGACACCTCTTTACCACTAGGTTATCTATCTAATGCTGATAAGATGGAGAATTCCCTGAAATCATTTCTCCATTCAGCCAACTTGATTAAAAGAACTCTGCTCCCAGAGTACTTGTCCAATAGGTGATCACAGGTTTGGACCCCGGGTCCAAACCTCTGTCTTTCCTCCGTCTTTCTGCTCTGACGCTTACACACATTAGTGAGGTCGATGGAGGGGAGAGGGCTGTAGCCGCAGGGCACCATGGGGGGCAGTATAAATACTGATACAGATGTCCCAGAGATGCTCAACCAGTGCTTCGGCCCTGGACTTGCATCCAGTTTCCCTGTGACTGCAAAGAGGTGAGCTGCAGCACAGCCCTGGCATCCCCAAGGCATCCCTGGGGAACTCTAAGTCCCGGGCGGTGACAGACAGGAGCTGTCTCTTAGATGACCACTGGGGACTCTAGCAGGGGAATGCTGGTGGAGAACACTGGAGCCTGTTCTTTCAACATCACCCCCAGTGATGTCCTGAAGGCACCCCACCCAGGCGAATTACCTGGAATCCAGTCTCTTTCTTACAGCCTCTCTGGGATTATTCTGGAATGATCTGACAATATCTGAAATCAGGGCTTGGAGGAGCACAGGCAGCTGTGGATGCCAAGACCCCAAGTCGCTACAGGGAGCATGAGGTGGGGGAGAATGGGAAGGGAGGGCTGGAACCCTGAGGCCCGGGGACTGTCACGGGACCGCTGGGGAGGACTCAGCCCTACGGGAATCTAGCCCCTGATGTCAAGAGATGAGCAGAGGAATGTGTGTTCAATTGCTTTGGGATAGCAAATTACTGTGAGAAAAAACAATCACTAGTATGTTATGAGGACATTTTGTTCCCATTCCCAAGGCAGGCTGATAGGAAGGCAGGCCCAGCCACACAGGGCTGGTGGCAAGATGTTAAGTGTGCCACAGATAAAACTGGTCAGGCATGCTTATCACCATGCCAGGCCTGTCCACGCCCAGCGGGCACCTATAACCACACGCTGACCCCACTCCAGAGGAGCACAGTGCTGGGCGTCACCACACTAGCTACTGCGTCGGCCCACCAGAAATGCCAACTGTCTGCTGAAGGTGGGGAAAAAGCCGGATAAGGACCAGGTTCGACTTCCTTTATCCTTTGGATTTTTTGCTCATATCTTGTTAAGGCCCTGCCCCTCATCCCCCTGCCTTTCCTCCTCTTTTTTTTCTTTAATTTTAATTTTGTGGGTGGTTCTTTTGGAGCCCTCTACAGCTTTAGGGAACTTTGAACCCGCTCTAGTCTTCCTTTATTCCTTCTTCATCCTGGTGAACTCTAGAGAGCAGAAGGAGCTTTTAGAAACTCAAATCAAAGCATATCGCGCTGCCAACTAAACTCACCGTTTTGTCACATTTAGAACCAACACCAAACTCCTCACCAAGGCCCCTGAGGCCTAATATGATCCACCACCTCCTACTCTCTCTGCTCTGTACCCAGACATACTGGGCTGCCCCACAGGGCCTCTGCATCTGCTGCTCCTTCTTCTGAAGCACCCTTGCCCATTCTCGTCGTGCAGGTCTGGCTCAAATGCCTCTTCTGGCACAAGTCCTCCCTCCTGAGCCCCCAGCTCCGCACCCCCAGCAGTGCCTATCACATCACCCACCACAGCACTCACCACAGCACCCTCGTCACTCATCAGTCACCCAGCACAGCACCCACATCACTCATGAGTCACCCAGCACAGCATCCTCATCAATCACCCAGCACAGCACCCTCGTCACTCATCAATCATCCACCACAGCACCCTCGTCACTCATCAATCACCCAGCACAGCACCCTTGTCACTCATCAATCACCCAGCACAGCACCCACGTCACTCATCACCCATCCCAACACCAATGTCATTCATCAGTCACCCAGCATAGTACCCACGTCACTCATCACCCAGCACAGCACCCAGCACAGCACCCACGTCACTCATCAGTCACCCACCACAGCCCCCTCGTCACTCAGCAGTC